AAACTCGTAAGCATATATTCTTTTATTGTATTATATCTGTCGTTTAGGTGGGGGATTTCAGAAGTACCACAACCCTTTGTACTAAATTCTCCAGTACAAACGAATAATGCTTTTTCCTTTACACGAGTAATTCACAATTAAAAAGTTTCCAAATACACAGAAAGGGGTATATCAGAAAATTGACTAATACACCGTGAGTATACGCCACAATCTAAGTATACTAAATTAAGTTGACAGCATGAGTACGAAAATACTTTCAAAAATTCTAATTCGCATTACGAAAAATTCCAATTTTTTCTAAGTCACTATTCACGAAATTTTGTTACTTTAATGAACCCTTTCATTAACTTGAATTAACCTTTTCACCCCTGATATCGGTATCCGTGAAGTGATTCATATCCATGGATCTAGTACTAGTATCCACTAGTGCCGGCATGCAGGTATGAGCCATTCGATATAAGATGATTCGATAAAAATTACATCTACTAAATTTTGTATAACTTTAAAGATGAAAATATTGTATAAAGATCAATGGATTAACAAGTGAAAATTGGTAGTAGAACAGGAACTTACAGGACGGTGATTCGTTTAATTAGAATATTGTGGGTAGATAAAGAAAAGGAACAGTTTTATGGTAAATATAATTTATACCGCATAAATTCTTCGTTAACGTTACAACTAGACGTGGTATGTACAAATATATATTTAATGCAATGATCTTACAAGAATTTAGTGTAATGCAGGTCTTGGTCAGTCTTTAATTGCCGAGGCCCGTTTTGCCGAGGCATCAAGCAGGCTCGATCCTCGCTTACGATCGAACACCGTGACACATAATTATTCGCAGAAACTAAACACTTTCTTCTTCTTCTTCGTACATACGGGACTGATCACATTAATTGGAATCGATTAAATCAAATAGTGTAGGCACTTTTGTCGGCTACCTTACGCTTCGAAAAATACAATTTCGTCGGCCGATCGAATAAATTGCGCACGCCCGATCCGTATCAACGTATCTGCTGAAGACACTCCGCAAGGTCGTTCGTACGGGCGGAAAAAAAATTGAGAAAAACTTGTTCTTAATACTAATTGGCAAATATCGATGATATTTAGAATTCGATGCTGCAGTTCTGTTAGCCGGTAACATGGCGACACGTCTGTCGGATCGAAGAAAACAGTAAAAAAAAAAAAAAGAGATAAGCACGGAGAAATAAATGGAACAGACATACAGGATGATACACCAAAATAAAGTAAAATGATACTGGTAAGAAAAAAAAAATACAAGGAAAAGGAGGAACGGGACTCGACGGTATGACAGATTTACGAAAAGAAAAGGCACACCGAAATTAAATCAACCCAGGGGCTCCACGCCCTAATACTCTATCTCTACCTACAACCTGTATCGCGCTTTTTCTCGTATCTTGTAAATGCTAAGACAACCCACAGCCTCGGTAAATATACAAAAAAAAAAAAAACATCCTCAACACCTCCATTCTTTGTAAAACGGGCATAGTAATAAGCAGTGTCCGTCGGATTTTACGAACTAAAGAACCAGAAAGTAACTTTAATCACGATCCCCCTAGCGGCGAACATGGCTAACCGGTCCGTTGTAAGAGTCCTCTAATCGTCTGAAATACTTCGTCGAGTTATCATATCCGTCGCTCGCCGATCGTTTCCCGAGAAAGAAGGATCGATCCACGTCATATCGCTGGCAAACATGTGTTCCTCCACCAAGAGTATTCATACTCGAGACAGCCGATTGTTCACGAAGCGCATTTAACGTACACGGGGTCCGAGGCGTAAGAACACACACGTACTCACATGTATCAGCGGGTGGATAAAATATCGGGCCACATTTCGAGAAACACCTCGTTCGTTTATGTCTGTTGATGCATGGGGCTATGATGATTCGACCATGCCGGTGGACTCGACTGATTGAAGTTCACCGAGATCGTCACAGGATGGAGGACTGTGTCTGGGCCGGTATCCGGGATAAAATTCAGATGAGGCCTCAACAGCGACGCCTCGACGGTGAACGGGACGTAAAAAGCGCCGCCATCGTGAAGAGCAAATATTGGTACACCGTGGGACGAACATGGCTTCTCCGGAGTGGTCGCCGGCGGTGGGCTGGATTTTATCCTCTCCGCGGAGAACCTCTGCTTGATGGAGCTCTTAAACTTGTAATTGGAAGGCTTGCAGTTGTTGGTCGGAGGTGTGCTGTGCGAATGGGTGCTGTGATTGCTATCATCGCTCACGATAACTGGTGGTGGTATGATCGTGGAATGCAGAGGACGTTCTGGATCACCGAAAGAACTCACACCAGAACTGGACCCGTGGTCTGAGTGGCCATTTGGTTGACATATCGTGGGAATGCTGGTGTGAGCGTAGCCATCGTTTATGGTGCCGTTTGAGGTTGGCACCTCGGGGTGAGGAAAACCCAGCCTGTCACCTGAAATTATATTTTGAAATTTAACGAACTGTTATCTGAGCCTATTCTATTAATGGGATAGGTGGTAATTAGACATTTACAAGGCTAGTACGTTTTAAATAGGGAACCAGTTATGAGCACTTATTCAACAAAGCTAACATTTTTTTATACAGCAGATAATTAGAAATATACCTTGTAGAAATTGTGGAAAATTACACGATACTCGTTGGTCCTATAGGAA